TCGAAGGAAATCTTGTTGTAGCGGTGGGCGAATTTGAGCTGTCCCTTTGACCAAAATCAGTTTCTTTCAGTTTCCTCAATCAGTTTCCTTCACTCATCAGTTTCCTTTCAGAAAATCGCGTCATTTTTGTGTGATCTTCAAACAATTCGAATAGAAACAAAAAAAAGATATAAATAAAGAAATGAAATTGGAAATCTTCAATCTTTTTTATGCTTAAAGATTGATTAGATTTTAATGAAAACTTTTTTTTATTTGACAACAAATTGATTACCGTATTTTCTCTAATAGTAGTGCACCTTGAGCGTCGCCTAAATTCCTCGAAATCTCGAAAAGCACTTATCAGAACCTATCGATGTGGGGTCGGAAAATGTAGCTGACGATGAGATCTAGTGGGGGCTTTGAGTGTTGAGCTTCTGCGAAAAGCTTGGAAGCCGTAAAATAGGCATCAACTCGGCTCGACTATGAAAAATACGGTAACCTTTTTCCCAAAAAACAGACAAACTTTAGACTTTTCTAATAGTAGTGCACCGCTTCGACTAAATTCCTCGAAATCTCGAAAAGCACTTATCAGAACCTATCGATGTGGGGTCGGAAAATGTAGCTGACGATGAGAGCTTTTGGGAGGATTTGAGTGTCGAGCTTCTGCAAAAGCTTGGAAACTGTAAAATAGGCATCAACTCGGCTCGCCGAGGTGCACTACTATTAGAGAAAATACGGTAGCTACCGTTTAAAATAGCTTTGTTGATTTTAAAGAAGAAAAATTGGAGACCGAATTGTTGAATAAAGCTGAGTAAAGCTTTTTTTTTGATCTCTCTATTTAGAAACAATTTAGTCTTTAACTTTTCTTCTTTAAAATCAACAAAGCTCTTTTAAACAATAGCTAAACAATTTGTTGTTAAATAAAAAAGTTTTCAACAATAGAAGCTTCTAGAAAAAGTTCTCTAGAGAAAACAGTTGAATGTAGAAAAATTGTTTTTTTTTAGATTCAACTGTTTCTCGTTTCTAGAAGAAATATTACTATATTAGGAATATTAGAAAGAAAGATCGGGGGAAAGGGAAGAGAAAGGTGGGCAAGTCCTTTCTCTCTCTCTCGTTTAACCTGTTCCCTTTCCTGTTCCCTGAGCTCCAACTCCATTTTTCTGAAGAAATATTACAGTACGCAAGAAAGATCGGGGGAAAGGTGGACAATTCCTTTTTCTCTCTCTCTTTTCACATGTTCCCTTTCCTGTTCCCTGAGCTCCCACTCCATTTTTCTCTTTTCCAAACTTTTCCACTCTAAAATCAAACCAGATTCGATTAAGGAGAATGTCAATCAAAAAGCTGTCATTTTTATAAAGTTATCTTTAAGAATTTCTTTGACAAACACTCTAATGTCTATAGAATTTCTATAAACTTGCAAAGCAATTACTGTATACTGTACAAGTTTTTAAAGAGTTGCTTTATTTCATTCAAATGATATAAAACATGAATATTCTAAAGTTCACAATTACTTATTCTTTAAATGAATAAAAATTAGATCTAGCTCTTCCAAATCAATTTTTATTAAATAATAAAAGTTCGAATTTATAAATTAACTAAGGAAAAAAAAGCAGAAAAGCATAAAATTTTCAATTTTTTTTTGATTTTAAAACATCTGTAGCAGTGATCTCTTCAGTGATCTCTTCAGTGGCAGTGATCTCTTCCGTGGCAGTGATCTCTTCAGTGATCTCTTCAGTGGCAGTGATCTCTTCCGTGGCAGTGATCTCTTCAGTGATCTCTTCAGTGGCAGTGATCTCTTCCGTGGCAGTGATCTTTTCCGTGGCAGTAATCTATTCAAACAGCTTAATCATAACTCAGTTTTGTTTAGTTAAGAGTATCTAAACTTTTCTATTTTTGATTTAAATAAAAACAGAGGGATTTTTTTAAAATGGGACTTATTATAGCGATTTGTTAACGAAAATTTGAATAAGCCGATTGTCAATTTGCTTTGAAAGCTTTAAAAATCTAAATTCAGCTATAAGATAAGGAAGATAAAGAAGATGAAGAAGATAAAAAAAAAAGAAATTACCGTATTCTCTCTAATAGTAGTGCACCCCGGCGAGCCGAGTTGGTGACTATTTTACGGTTTCCAAGCTTTTGCAGAAGCTCAACATTCAAATCTCCCACAAGATCTTATCGTCAGCTACATTTTCCGATCCCACATCGATAGGTTCTGATAAGCGGTTCTCGAGATTTCGAGGAATTTAGGCAACGCTCAAGGTGCACTACTATTAGAGAAAATACGGTAATCAATTTGTTGTCAAATAAAAAAAAGTTTTCATTAGAGAGAATACGGTAATCTTTATTTATAGATAAAGAAAAAAAAAAAATGAATCTTTATCTATAATTATTCTATAATGTTTATCTATAATGTTTATCTAGAAAAAAGAAATGAATGAGGTCAATAGAATGCAATTTCTGAAATCTTTTGTTATTGGTAAATTACCTTTTTGCCTTGAGAAACAAGAAAAACAAACGAATTTTTCACCATTTTCTTTCCTTTAAAACGTCATTGAATGAATTAAAGCGCAACTGCTCAGCGCTTCAATGGTGATGTTACATTTCTTGCTAAAAAATTATCACAAGAATTTGATTCTTTCATTTTCATTTTTTTCAATTCTTTCATTGAAAACGCTTCCGATAAATGCGTTTCTCGGGGTCATTTTCATTCTATTTCTTTCTTTGATCTCTAATTTTCTTCATATATCATGAAAAGTTTTCTCATTTAATGCCTATTATTTCCTATTCAATCAGCAATTTTCCAGCACACGCCCATCATTGAACTCTTCAAATAGGGGAATGATTTAGACGCACATGACATAATGACATAATGACATAATCCTTTATGGTTTTAACCTTGGATCACCTTACTGTATCCGTTCCGTTCTTTGACGTTCTCATAGAGAAACTAATGTAATCGTTAAGCTTACTGTACGCTACAGGACAGTGAGCTTACTATACAGTGCAGTAAGCTTACTACACAGTACAGTAAGCTTACTACACAGTACAGTAAGCTTACTACATAGTAGACTTCGGCAAACAAAACCAAAACCAAAACAGACCAAAACCAAAACCAAAACCAAAACCAAAACCAAAACCAAAACAAAACCAAAACACCAAAACAAACCAAAACTCAATTTGCATATAAATTAACATGTAAATTTAAAATTGTAAAATGCAAATTTTAATGTAAAATGCAAATTTGCCTTTCACTTTTTCTCACTCCACAAAATCTCGCGGCCGAAAAAGGACCAAAACACGAGCTCGAAATTTCGAAACAAAAATAGCCTATGGGATAGATTTTTGGATGCTGATTTCAAATCTGCAAACAGATTTTCGCTAGCTCCTCCCAGTCGCGAGATATTGGCGAGTTTTGGTTAGTTTTGGTTTTGGTTTTGTTTTTGCTTTTGGTTTTGGTTTTGTTATGGTTTTGGTTTTGGTAGTTTTGGTTTTGGTTAAGTTTTGTTTTCCGAAGTCTACTACATAGTACTACACAGTACAGTAAGCTTACGGTACTGTGTAGTAAGATTACAGTTTGAAAATCTAGTACAGTATCCTTTAAGTACTTTCCACAAATTTTAAAATCCTTCAACCTTTTCGCTTATTCAAAACTTCAAATTGAAAACCCAAATGTAAAAGCTAAACTCTAAAAAGTGAATCCTCAAATCTGCTTTAGAAATGTATAACTCTCTTTTTTTTTTTTCTAATCTTGGATATGAATTTCTTTTTTCTTTCTTTGACTTCACCATTACTCACACCTTTCAAAAACACGCAATCTCTTGAATATCTAAGAAGAGTTTCCTCACTCATTCAAACGAGGAGACCATTTTGACGTGTGAATCCCCAAAATTTTCGAGTAACTTTTTTCATTTCTCTCTCAAATCTCATTAATCCCATTTCAGATATGTAAAAAGAAAGTATGATATAAAGATGAGCAATGGCTTGGTTTTGGGCCTTTTTTTCCTTTTTTTCCTTTTTTCTCTCCTTAATCTGGCCAATAAAATTTGGCTAATTTTTTTTGTGTGGGTTGAAACTACGACTTCTGTTGAAAGTGCGACTCATTTTCTTTTTTGAACTCTCTGAAGCTCGGTAGATAAAAAAAAAATGTTTTATGGCTTAAAATGAGCTGCTTGCTTTTGAAAATCTGGGAATTTTTGGTGTCAAGCTCTAAAATTCAGTTCTATTGCTGGTCACATTTGTCTTTATGCTTTCATTTCTTTTTTTGAGTTGAAAATTTTGTTTCAAATTTTTGATTGACTGTTTCCATTTGAATAAAAAGCGTTTTCTAAAAGGTTCACCCTAGAGAAGTTATCGTAATCTCAAGATCTTTATGTTGAAAGAACAGAGTAAAGCCTCATTTAAGCGTCAGTCTTAACTCTTCTCAAATTCTCAAATCAAAATTCTAGGTTTAAGACAGACATACAGACAGACAGATAGACAGACAGATATATAGACAGACAGACAGACAGATAGACAGACAGTCAGATAGTTAGACAGACAGACAGATAGACAGATAGACAGACAGATAGACAGACAGATAGATAGACAGACAGACAGACAGACAGACAGACAGACAGACAGACAGACAGATAGACAGATAGACAGATAGACAGACAGACAGATAGACAGACAGACAGATAGACAGACATATAGACAGACAGACAGACAGACAGACAGACAGACAAACAAAAAAGACAGATTACGGTAGCTTTTTTACATCTTTTAGAAAACACTTATTAACCAAAAGAAGCGCAGTCTATTTACGCTTTCAATTATTGTCCTTTCTCACTAATCTCTCTCAGTCAATTTAAAGTTTGAATACTAATTTCGAGTTCGGTTCTTTTTTCAGAAAAAAACCCCTTTGTTTTTGCTGTGTACAAGAAGCAATTATTCGGGAAAGCCTCCGCATTTCTTTCCCTTTTCACTCACTCAGTCAGTGTCCCACTTTACCCCAACTTCACCGTCAATTGTCGTGGTCAGAAATGAATGCCAATCTTCAGCGACTTTTTTTCTTCTTCTTCCTTATTCATTTGGTGAGTCAAAAAAATGGCTGTTAAAGTTAAACGCAGAGATTTTAGTGTCTAAGCTGTATGGTTCCCCCATGTCCTTGGAGGCCATACCGTCGCCACAGATTGACAAAGAAAGAGGTAAAAAACTTGATTCATCATCATCCATTTAGCATCATATTTATAGAAAACTCTTTATTCTTAGTAATTTTATCATTTATAAGTTTCTAGATTATGAATAATCAGCTGACCGAGTTACCGGGATCTATTGAACCCGTCGAATATGAGTGCTCTGGGGAAAATGAAGTGAGTTTTTAAGAATCGAGTTTAAATTTAAACAGAAGTATTATTTCTACTGTAATACTATTATAATCGCATTTATCATTTCAGCTTTCATGCGGTGAGAATTGCTGTGACACTCGACTCCAAGTTTGCCTTTATGGCCGTTGCCTCAATCGGAATCGGCTTCGATTTTTGAAGTTCTAGGCAACAAAAGAAATTAATTATTTTGTTTTTCTTGAAGCCATTTTTCATTGTTTTCTATTCTGTAAATAACAGAAATTGGCTTAATAAATAGCGTTTTGATTGTTTTTGCGGTAAAAATGACTTTTTTTAGATCTTTTCCACATTGGTGAGTAATCAAAAGAGTTTATAACGATTGAAAGTACTCGTTTAAAGAGTTGGTGCTTTTCCCTGGGGTATTTTTCGCTCGGAATGAATATTTGTACGCAAAACGGCAATGATTTTAATAAGTAACCAAGGTAAGAACCAAACAAACAACAAGAAACGTATCAATAGGCTCATCTTGCGAAAAAATATTCATCAACAGATCGAAAAACAATTCGCTTCAATAGATGCATAAAGTATGCTTTGGTAGGTTAGTTACAAGTTATTTAACAAATAAAAGAGCAAACAATAGCCGTTAAGCGACAATAAAAAGGCTAATGACAGAAAATAGAGGGGAAAAGAGAGAGGAAGCTGGGTACTTCACGCCAAATTTTTTGCGCAACTTGCCATAAATTTCTTCATAAGTTGGCCAATCTTTATGTTTTTGATGTGATTTTGTAGATCTCAACAAGTGAAACAAAATGAAACCAAAATCATAAAGATTGGCTCACAACTTGCCATAACTTTCTTCATAAGTTGATCAATCTTTATGTTTTTGATGTCATTTTGTAGATCTCAACAAGTGAAAAAAAATGAAACCAAAATCATAAAGATTGGTCAACTTATGAAGAAAGTTATGGCAAGTTGCGTAAAAAAAAATTTGGCGCAAAGTATTCGCCGGAAGCCCGAAGAAAAGGGGGCACAAAATAAAAACCGACAATCGCCGGCTACGGTAGAAAAGTGACAAAAAGAGGGGGAAGGGAAAAATTATAAAATGTATACTTAACCAAAGCAAAGTTACATGTAAATATTAACTAACTATAAAAACTATAGTTTTTTTTTATAGGTAATAGAGTAAAAACTACTTTATTAACTATTAAAAAAAACTTTGTTATATTGGTTTTTGCTCGGTTTCGATAATTTGAGTCTGGGGAAAGCGATGCGGAATCGCAACATGGCTCATTAAACCCTAAAAGTTTTTAGATTCTTAGATCAAAAGCCAAATAAATTTATACTGAAATCATTAATTAGCTCTGCTTTTCACTTACTGGAACATGATGAGACGGGAAATTCCCGTAGAAAGCTGATGGCTCAAAATAGGGCTGACCGAATGGAAAAGGATAGGTGAGCATCGATGATGAACCGGGCATTTCATCTGAAATTTGTTTTATTATATTAATAAAATTAAAATATTAATATTATTTGGTACTATGTGTATATGGTAGTTTGAAAATTCTTACAATTCAGTAAAGAAGGCGGTGACGAGTTTGAGGATTTCGTCTCGTCGAGTCGATTCGTCACCGAGGCGTTCGTGTCAACGGATTCGCTTCCCTCCGAACAAATCGGGGAACTGAAAACACGATATTTATTTCATATTTTTATTTTTACCATTCATAAACTCGTAATTAAGAGTATATTTACCGTAAATACTGTAATAGTACCCCACCCCTCTCGTACAGTCGCCTAGTCGCAAAAGTTTTTTAGTATTTCATTTTTTTCAAAGCGCCCGTACTTTCAAAAAATGCGTCTTTGGTATCAAAAAATAGCCCTGAAATTCAGGGCTATTTTTCCTGATACCTAAGCGCGCCATCCCTGTAGCATAAGCGCAGTGTCGACGAAAAACGCGCCCAAAGCTAGACTACGCAACACTCCACACCGTCATTATGGGGGTGGGGTACTATTATGGGGGTGGGGTACGTCATTATGGGGGTGGGGTACGACACTGGTTTATGCTACAATGCGCGCTTTGGTATCAAAAGATAGCTGAAATTCAGGGCTATTTTTGTCATACCTAAGCGCACATTGTAGCATAAGCCAGTGTCGAGAAGAACGCGCCCAAAGCTAGACTACACAACACTCCACACCGTCATTATGGGGGTGCGGTACTATTACAGTATTTGTAAGTATTTTGTTAGCTAAATTATGCCTGAAAAGGTCTTCTCAAAAGAGCAACGATCCCAACCTTTCGTTCTCCCTCGTCCATCGGTGTGCTCCTTCGTTTGATTGAAACTCTAAAGCTATAAATTATTTTAGAATATATAAGTAACCTGTTTTTAGATTGTTTAAAGCTAAATGGTTGTCAAAATTAATTTTCAAAACCTAATCTTTCTACCTGAACTCTCGGAACTCCCCGGACTTCGCTTTCGCATCTTGTAGCGCTTGTTTTGAAACCAGATTTTGATCTAAAAAATGATTTTCACAATTGAAAGTCTCATCTCAAACTTGATTTTCCGTAAGTCCAATCTTTTGCGAGAATTCCCTCCTCTCAGGCTGAAGAATGTTTGGAGATTTTTGAAATCTCTCCTCCAATTTCCTGTATTGCCATGGATCAAAAAGGACACGTCTGCGTTTTCTCTTTTCGTTGTCTAGAAAATCTTAAAGGTTGCGTTGAAATATTTCTACAAAATATAAGAACTTTAAGAGCTTTAAGAAAAACTCGTCATGATTTAAAGCACTCACCAGATCCCTCGTCCTCCAACTTTTCCTCTCCTTCATTTCCGAGTTTCCAAAAAGGATTTGTTGGCTGAGGATATGGATATTGAATTGGATAACTAAAAATAGAAAATTTTTGTGAAATAAAAAAATTAATCCTACTATGGATAAGGGAATTGATGACCGTAAATCGGATAAGACATCAATGGGTTCAATGGAGGACACATTGGAGCTTGATTCTCTTCCTAAAATTCGCGAATAAAAGTTATTTTGAAGGAAAGATGATGATAGATATTATTATATCTATCAAATTTTCTTTTTAACAAACCATAGATGAGAGCAATGGCACTGTTTTTTCATTGGTCCAAGCAGGAACACTAGGAAGGGGAGACTCGTCGGTGGGTAGCATCAGCACTAGAAAAGAAGTTAAAAAACAAATAGTTAAGAGTTTTTTTAAAGAACTTGCAAAAATGAATGAAGTTTAATGAAAAGAAGAGGCGGAGAAATGGATGTGGAAGAGTCGGAAGGTCTGAGACTTTTCCGAGTCAGCATGCGATCGCGTCAAGTGCCCCATCATTGAGCTCTTCTTTCAAGCCTTTGGCAAAATATTTCTTGATCCCCTTCGATCAACAGTTTATCTCTTTCAAATTTGAATAAAGAAATAAATAAAAGAAACCCAATGGAGCTCTGTTTGCAAGCTTTATTCTAAAAATAAGGAACTAATTAGGAAGCTTTACTAAACTGCAAGCTTTACTAAACTGCAAGCTTTACTAAACTGCAAGCTTTACTAAACTGCAAGCTTTACTAAACTGCAAGCTTTACTAAACTAGGAACTCTAGCTAAGTAGAGACTAAAAAGGATAGAATACTTTAATTGTGAGTAGAAAAGCGAGATCACTTATGATCAGTTTCCAAGAGAAGTCCAGGTGCAAGCCTCAGGCACCAGTAAAGTCCTCTTTTTAAACCTTTTTCCTTGTAAGATCTAGGATTAAAATCTCAACAAATAGCTAAAGAAATCTATAAATAACAAAAAGTGGGATAAATTCTTAAAAGTTACCGTTCTAACTTTGCATAAATCAAAAGATACACATGAATTTTTGAGTATCAAACTTTATCCAATTATATTTCACAAATAAAAAAAAGATTGTTAGATTAATAGAATGAAATTTTAAAGTAATAACTAAAGTTTAACATTTTTTTTAAGAAAGCTAATGGGTGGGATCGAAGCTTTTTTGCTGTCCTAAGGCAATCCGCACATGCCAACAATTACTTTAAAAACACATCTCTTATCGCCAAATCCCAATGAAACAGTGGTCGACACTCGAGTAGAGAAAGTAATTGGTCGCATTTTTTCAATGGCACACTTATGCAGCATTGATCGAATATATTACCGTAAATACTCTAATTTTACTGCTTTGGACCAATGAGAAAACAGCGCCATTGCTCTCATCTGTTGTTTGTTGAAAAGAAGATTTGATATGTTGTAGCCGATTATGAATGAGTGGGTCTAGGAGCGTCCAACCAGCAAGTATTTGGTATCATTCAACGCAGAACCATTAATAATTATGTTAAATTTTTTAAATTAGAAAGATTGGATAAAAAGAAAAAAATTATGGGGCTTCAAAGTTTTCTCTTGAACAAACAGTTTTTTTTGCTCTAATTTTTTTTCTTTTTATCAAATCTTGCTAATTTAAAAAATTTAACATAATTATTAATAGTTCTGCGTTGAATGATACCAAATACTTGATGGTTGGATGCGTCCGGACCCACTCATTCATAATCGGCTGAAATACATAATCGGCTGAAATACATAATCGGCTACGGGGATCCCACCGATTTTGAATCAAACGTTGTAGCGCTCGCAATTTTTAACCTAAACTCGCAAATTTGATACCAATCGACGCAGAATTTAATTCCCTACAAAATGATATAATATTGTCCTCATACATTAAAGGGTTAACCTACTAGAAAGGTTTGCAAAAAAATTTTCATTCATAATTGGCTACGAGATATAATTAATCATTATTCAAACAAGATAACGAATAAAGTATACTGTGTAATGCTTTAGAAGATAACGGTTTTCCTAGACCCAGTCATTCATAATCGGCTACGGGGGTCCCGCCGATTTTGAATGAAACGTTGTAGCGCCGGCAATTTTTAACCTAAACTCACAAATTTGGTACCAATCGACGCAGAATTTAGTTCGCTACAAAATGATTTAATATTGTCCTCATACATTAAAGGGTTGCTCTACTAGAAAGATTTGCCACAAAATTTCATTCATAATCGGCTACGAGATATATTTTTATAAGTAAATATGGGGGTGGGACAAGTGCGACCTTTTTTTTGCGCACCTGGACATTTGCGCACCTTTTTTTTGCTGGAAAAGGCCTTAGGAAAAGTCGTAGAGGAATCGTATTTTTTTAGATTCAGAATTTTGACAACTCAGACCTCGCTGACACGTCAAATTTGGGCTAAAAGGCAAAAACTACGCAACTTAACGCTTTTCCGCAGTTTTTGCCTTTTAGCCCAAATTTGACGTGTCAGCGAAGTCCGATTTGTCGAAATTCGGAATCTACGCATACGATTCCCTTATATGGAAACGTTTTTGAAGCTCTACGACTTTTCCTAAGGCCTTTTCCAGCAAAAAAAAGGTGCGCAAATGTCCAGGTGCGCAAAAAAAAGGTCGCACTTGTCCCACCCCCAGTAAATATATAAAAACAATTATTTTGTTACAAAAAAATGACCTTTTATTGAGCTGAGGCGCTGTTTGAGTTCACTTTTCAACGTCATTTTGTAGAGAATCAGTTAACCTTTCTACTGATATCAAACGCGTATCATTTGACGAAATCTGCTCGAAGTTTTAGGAAACTTTAGGAAACTTTAGGAAACTTTAGGAAACTTCAAAGTTTTAGGAAACTTCTTTGATTTTCGGCACAACTTCTTTTTTTGATTTTCATTCTCCCCAACCCAATAGTAGCGCTTTTTCAAAAAAAACAAAATGGCGCCCTTTCTCGTAATGCCCTTTCTCTTCAGTGTTGATAACTCAATATAACTTTTTAACGATGGAGATGTTGTGATAAAAAAGTACAAAAGAAAAAGTATTTTTGGGTGGGGGGAAATGAGTGACGAGGGAGTTTTGATCAACAGCCAGCCCACTCATCGAAATCGTCTTGATCACAGAGAAAAGACGGTGACTCAGTACACAAGAGCGCCTTTCACACCTCAATTTTCAATGAGTAAATATTTATTCTATCGGTGGGTCAATTCCTAATTAGTTTGATCTATTTTGAAATTTTTTGAAATAAACAAATGCACTCATCGCAGTCAGCCATTGAGAGACTTTAATTCGTTTTGTGGAGAGAAGTGGAGAAGTTATCGTTTTTCTCACACAAAAAAGAGAATGGGCGGGAATTTGACCGGTAAATAGAAAGAGTTTTCTTTGGTTGATCAAAACTTTTGCGGTGAGTGAGGTGTGATGAAAGAATGGCAAACAAAAATCCGCTCTCGTCGCTCAACTCAGTTGAGTATTTAGGGGTGAGAATTTGGCAATTCCGACCGTTTTCTTGTTTTCCTCAACGCACTTTTCGACGACAATTTTTTAGTAAAAACTGTTTAGTCTAGATTGTTTACGAGTTTGATGCTTTCATTTTACATGGCTTTCATTTCATTTGACATGGCTGTAAAAGGCTGTAAAAGTTTTTCTTCATAACTTCCCAAGTTTAGAATGCTGCTAGCAGTTATCTTGACGATTTTCTCTGTATTGCATGGTACATCAGCGCTTTTCGGAATCGGTTCCAAGCAAAGTGTGGCCGTTCGAGGAAGGTCTGGATTCGGGAAAATTTTCAATTTTCAATTTCATTACTTTAAAGTAATTCATTTAAATTTTAGATTAACGTGCAATGGAATGCCGGCCAGTAATGTATACGTAAAAATGTACGATGATGATGTTTGTAAGTTTGAAGTTTGAAGTTTTCCTTGTTGAAACGGGAAGAGTTTTTAAACTTTTAACGGAAACTATAGAATCTAGAGAATACTAGAATAGCTATAGAAACTATGAAATTCGAATACTTTGATACTTTGATTTGGCTAATGCTAGTGAATTTTGACCTTTAATGGAGCTTTAATGGAGGAACTTCAAATTTAATGCATTAATCTATTGGATTGGTGAATTGAAAACAGCCGGCTATTGTCATATGTGACAGTTTGAGCACTTTCTTCAAAAGAAACCCATTTTAGTGTCAATAGAAAAGTTGTAGAGAATCAAAAATTAAGCTTATATCCAAATTTTCAGAAAGATTCAAAGACTGGTTTTCAAGAAATGCCAAATTTACGAAACTTTCACAAAACTTGCATTTTAAGCGAAACTACTAAGTGTATCTTTTTGGAAATTTGGCTATAAGCCTCATTTTTGATTCTCTACAACTTTTCTATTGACACCAAAATGGGTTTCTTTTGAAGAAAGTGCTCAAACTGGGACATCTCCAGTCCTCCATTTTTGAGTCTCACACAAAAACCAAAATCAAACCAAAATCCTACTACGAAAGAGTAATCCGCAAATTGCCTGTAAAATGGGCAGAAGTCGTCAATAATAATGGAAATTATTTGGAATGAATTTATGGTTTTATGTTGAATCAATTTTAGTTCAAAGTCCGGCAGTTTTCAATTCACCAACCCAATAGTTTACTTTACTTTGTGTAAAGATTTCTTTCAGAATCGTCCCAGAGACTTTACCAATTGCTTATTTTCTTGTGGATCCAGTTTTTGGATATCTTTCTGTTGGAAGACATTCTCTTCGATTAGATCCAAAAGATTTTACATTTCAAGTAGAAGCTATCGATTCCGGGAATCCTCCACTTATCACCACACAAATCATTCAAAGTCCCGCAGTTTTCAATTCACCAACCCAATAGAACAGCATTTTGTTGCGTTAATCTTTGCACTCTTGCGATAAAAAGCTCCAGAGAGGAAAATAAGACAAGATCATGAATTATGAATTGTGTGAATTGGCCAGACGTTTCATTGTGTTTCATTTTCGTTTCATTTAGGAAAAAACTTTCATGACTATTTTCTGTCCATCAGTTGAATGTGCAAAGTTGATGCAAACAATTAAAAGCTTATATAATGATATATTTAGAAAGATTTTATTAGAAAATTTTCAGTATGGGACTCGAAAATGGGTGAAACGCACAGTGACACGAACGGCTTCTTTCAGTTGATTGGCACTGGTCGAGAGATTAGCACAGTTAGTGAAAAAAAAGAAGAGAACATTGAAAGAACAAAATAGGGATGAATCTTTTGTCAGTTCTATGTTTTAGTAAACAGATCTTGTTTTCTAAAGTGATACAAGGCTATAGAAAACAAGAGCTTTTTGCTAAAACTGTTTGCTGTTTGCTCGTTTTTTACAAAAGCTCATTTATAATAGAACAAAATGTTTAGGTAGATCCCAAAGTGAATTTCTATCACGATTGCAATAATGGAGACTTCAGAGTGAGTTGTGATTAAAATTCATAAATAAAGAAAAGCTCAGTGTCCGCGAAAGTTCACAATAAAAATCCCCGATCAATATGTGGCTAAAGGGTCAACGGCAACGATGCCCTATGATTTTGGAGTTCTCGAGCTTTCTGGTAAATCATTTACAAAGCAATTTGCTATTTTTTCTAAGGAATTTGCTATTTTTTTTAAAGCAATATTTTCGAATCCAGCTTGGAATAAAATATCAAATTTTTCAGGAAAAATGCCTGGAGAATCACACGATTGCATTCATCGTAAAAGACGATAATTTCCTTCTTTCAATCGATTCATTTCTCACATTTTTCTCACATTTATCACATTGAAAATAAATCTATATGTAAATTGAAAACTTTTTCACGGAATGAGGTTTGTTTAAAGTGGACAGTAAATAGTAGAAAAAAAGAAAAACATCTCGTGAAACATCGAAAAAGTAAACAGAAATTTTGGAAAGATTTTCTAGGGAACATTTCTTTCTGCTTTTTTTTTCATTGATGGCTCATTGATGGCTCATTAATGGCTCATTGATGGTTCATTGATGGCTCATTGATGGCTCATTGATGGCTCATTGATGGCTCATTGATGGCTCATTGATGGCTCATTGATGGCTCATTGATGGCTCATTGATGGCTCATTGATGGCTCATTAGATGGTTCATGATGGCTCATTGATGGTTCATTGATCGTTCATTGATAGTTCATTGATGGTTCCAACTTCGAAGAAATTGAAAAACAAAAATAAGGATGAATCAAATCTTTACTAAAATTAACAATAATTTTTGTACTTATAAACAAGCTTTTATCCAATCGGTCGACGATTTTTAAAGATTTTGCGATTGAGACAAAGGATCCAGAGAAGGAAATCCTTTTCTCAGAATCCGGTTCTCAAATCCAAAAGATAGATAAAGCAAAGCTTTGTCATATCGTTTTTTTGTCATAAAATGATCACTCCATCAATTCTATTATTTCCATTCATTTGTATTGCCCATTTCTCAAAAACAGATGCCTTTTTAGCGTCTGCTTTCTCAAGTGTTTCCCAGGTATAGTGAAAAAGCTTCAAAAGGCTGAAAAGGCTTCAAAATTTACTTAAAGCTAGCTTTAGATTTATTTATAGATACCAAAATTTTCCTTAAAGACGTATAAAAAGATTTAGAAAGTTTTTTTAAACGGTAAGTTTAAACTAAAAGTTCAAATCATGACCTCAAGGCTGGCCGTACCTCAAACTGTGCCGATTGGTCGGAGTTCGGGCCGTGCTTTTCGACGGCTGATCGATCTTTTTGGAGGAATTTGCCCACACAATGCTATCAAAATCGATATATGTCGGTAAGTGGATAAAAGATTTGAAAGATTTTAAAAAAAGACTAACTAAAACTTTCAGCTAATAACCGGTATCGGAAATCCGATCGTGCAAAAAACGATGGACTATGCGGAGCTCTTCAATAAGGTGAATAAACTTATACAGGGTGACAAGAAATAATCCGCCTTTACATTTTAATCTCAAACTCTCAAATTCAAACAAAAATGCTCTATGAACATAATAAGTAGACACCCTTAAGAACTTAATGATGAAAATTTGTTTCTCTAGGTCGATCCTGTTCTTTACAAGACATAAAAGTAGGCACATAGGTGATACCTCGGAGCGCTTCTCACTTTAAAAAATACCGACTGGGGCTACCAGTGGTGAATTTATCGCATACACGAAATATATCAATCACAATACAACGACACACACAATACTAGGCTATATCTTAACTTAACCCACGTCATGACAGACGGCTCCCTAACCCTAAGCTCAATGGGGAACTAAATAGCTTTTTTGGTGGTGAAGGGAAGATGACGATGAAGGAAGAAATTTCAAGAAAAGTATCTCGTTTTTTATGCCCAAAATTTAGATCAAGTTCAAGCTTTCACTGATAGAATTTGTAATCATTTAGCAAATTTTTTAAATGTATCCGACTAAGTGAGCGTAGGAATAGGCTCGAATTTTCAAGCTCGAAAAATAAGTCATTTTTTTCAAACCAAAAAAACCATCTTTTTCTTCAATAAATGGGGTTTTTACGCCATTTTTGTGCCAAAAAGTTTTTGGTATAGATAAACACAAATTTCGGTATTTTAGTTGAAAATACTTGAATTTTATTTATATTTTGGGCGTAAGAAAAAACGAGATACTTTTCTTGAAAGTGAGAAGCGCTCCGAGGTATCACCTATGTGCCTATTTTTATGTCTTGTAAAGAACAGGATCGACCTAGAGAAACAAATTTTCATGATTAACTTCGGTAAGAGTGTCTACTTATTATGTTCATTTCATTTTATTTTATTTCATTTTTGTCTAGACGCCTTATCATTAAAATGTAAGAAATCATAGGAACTAAATTTTGGGCGTCAAAAACGAGATACTTTTCTTGAAAGTGAGAAGCGGTCCGAGGCATTACTGTGCCTACTTTTATGTCTTGTAAAGAACAGGATCGACCTAGAGAAACAAATTTTCATCATTAAGTTCTTAAGGGTGTCTACTTATTATGTTCATAGTGCATTTTTGTTTGACTTTGAGAGTTTGAGATTAAAATGTAAAGGCGGATTATTTCTTGTCACCCTAGAGATAAATGTGATTGTCAACGTTATTTTTAAAAATTTTAAATTTATTTAACTCTTAAATATCTTTTTTTTTGTACTTTTACTTTTACCTTTTAAATAACTATCTTTGTTTATAAACTTTCAAGCATTTAAACAAATTTCAATTACGAGTTTTCAGTCAGCAAACGCATGTGGCATGTGCAATGTGCAAGTTTCTTGCAGCCCACGTTGCGATTACACTCCGGGGTTTGTTTCATGTGATATTTGATAAATGTTATTTTGAAATTCTAGTGGCAATTCCTTTGGCGTAGTGGACCGTATTTGTGATTTGCCGACAGAGCGTCAAGCCTGCGCGATGAGCCAGCAAGCTTTCGAGCCATCCACCGGTCGTTGTCATGTTTGGCCGCCTAGGTTTGGCTTTTGGCTTTAAAAATTAAAAATATTCATTCTTGACTTCTATTACCATAAAGATAAACTAATTTTTGAAGCCAAAAAGGCTTGATAAAGTTTTCAAATGATAGCTTTCAGGTACACGACAGCCGTCGAGTTTTTGGGAGCTTTAGTTCCAGAACACATTCGAAAACAAGTGTGGGCGCTGAGACCACTCAATTGTATCAGGTTTGTAATCAATTTTAACTCTTAAGCTTTAGTATTTTAGTTTTATTTTTAAATTTAAAGCATAATTTAGTATTGAGAACAAATGTTATTGTTGTTGCTCTCCATACACGCCGAATCCGTGCGATGCGCAGTGTACACTACATCCGTGCTCTCGACGACATCACTTTTCCACAGCACAGATTAAAATTTTGAGGTTTGTCAATAAATCTAGAAGAAAATCATCTTCATTCATTAAATTTTAGCTTTTATTTTAGACGAAAATGGTTAGAAGCGAAGGAAAAAGTCGTCGAAGAGGAGAGTAGAGAATGATTCTTAGAGAATGATTCTTAAAGAATGATTCTTAGAGAATGATTTCGAGACGCTTTCATGTTAAATTTTTTTGTCTTAATGTTAAATGAATTTTCGCGCGACGTCGCATTCCAATTGACGTCGCCGCCATTTGGAGGTAGTCGATGGGAGCGTCGCGTCGTCGTTTCTTTTTCATTTTTTAAAAATCATTCTCTTTTCTTGTGATGTTTTTTTGTCAGATTAATTGAATTCATTGTTTTACGCGATAAATTTTGTTTTCCTCTTTGAAATGAGAAAGAAATCTGTTTTCATTTGGGAGCCGAGTGGAGAATCCGGAACTTTTCGTAGCCGAACCACAATGAAGGCCAAAACTAATTGTAAGATGTTTTGGGGAATTGAATGGAAACAACGAAAGCAAAACTCGTTTCCTGGATCGTTACAAAACTGGAGTAAAATGCGGATTCTTTCGTTATCACTGTTGTTTGAACTCAAATTTTTTATTTCTTGAACTGAAAACACATAGGAAAAGGTTTAATTTCCACAAAAAAAAATCAAACAAAATTAAAGCCAAAACATGGAATGTGTCAAGTATGTTTGGTAAGAAAAGGAAAAAAAAACAACAAATAACACTGAGTTTTTGATGCACATTTGAGGAGAAAAAGCGTTTTTTTTGTGGACATGTGGACATGAAAAATCACAGAGAAAATGGTGAAATTGATGGATTTTACAGAAAATTAATATAGAAATACAAATAATGAAAATTAACGCTTAATATGCAAATTCTCTAGGCACACATGGTCTTTGGGAAATCGAAAAATACAAAAAAAAGTAGATAAAGAGAAAAATAGATTAGTATAATAGAAAATTTTTAAAAAAAACCTAGAAAAAGTGTAAAATGATCAGGACTAGCTAGCATACTCAGGCTTAGGCTAGACTTTTTTTTTTTGAAAACATGAAAACGAAAAGAAAATCACTCAAGTCTTTCAAGGAAATTTGGATCCTTGAAATATTCGGGAATTGGATCGTCGAGTGGTTGAATTACCTGGAAAATTAAGATTGAATTTGTTTTTGTCTAGAGATTTTAATAATAAAGCTTATTTCTTGAAAGGTTAGTTGGAAAAGCTCTTTAAACAATTCTTGCACTCAATTTTTGAAAGATTCAAGTTTGTTTTAAAGCTTACTATTCTATTCTACTTATATCTAGATATTTAGCTGGTTTTTTCAAATTTATTTAACTACCTTGTAGATGGTTTTTTTCCATGACGGCTCGACATCTTTGCCGAGTTGAATGGCGGAGAAAAACTCGCGCAATGTCTCTTGCACGACGAGCACCAAACGATCCGGTGGCTGAAATTTTGTTTTAATTTGGATTTAAGGCTGTTTTGATTTGAATTGGAAGCTGCTTTAATTGAAATTTAATGCTGTTTGAAGTTTGAATTGAAAGCTTTTAAGCAATTTGAATTTGAATTCAAAGCTTTAAAGCTGTTTGAATTTGAATTCAAAGCTTTCAAGCTGTTTTAACTTAAATTTCAAGCTGCTTTAATTGAAATTTAAAACTTTTTAAATTTCAATTTATTGCTTTCAAGCTGCTTGGATGTTAAATTAAAAACCCAAGTGCTGATTTAAAGCTTTCAAAGTAAATCGGGAGTTGCTTATTCGAGGTCTTGTCACCAAATCTTTAAACTAGATTCCCATTTAGAGAACTTCCCCCTAGTTTTATTTAATTCAAAAATAGAAAAGTCTACAAAGTCTTAGCTAAACAAACCTGAATATGATTGTTGCGATTGTAATGTTGATTAAGCTGCTTGAAGAGATCACTCTCTTTCGTCACCACAATCTCTTCTCGATGAGTGGTCCCCTCGCTGAGCGCGTTTCTCGCATATTTCTCCATCTGGATGTAGAAGAACTCTCTGAAATTCGTTATTTTTCTGTAATATTTGTATAAACTGTGTTAAGTACAAAAAAAAATAAAAGGATTTTTAAAAAGTTTACCTAAAGTTTGAGAACCATTTGACGAGCTGAGCGGTGTTGTTCTTGTTGAAGCGAATGTCGGGAAAGAAAGTTTTTAAAAGAGTCGAATTCGGGTATCGAGTATAGAAAAACATTAATTTTGCTTTTCGGAGATGCATCGGTGACAACATGTTGCTGAAATTTTATACAATTTTATAGATTTTCAAGTAGAATCTTGTCAAGTAAGAGTTCTGAAATTTTACAGAATTTTATAGACTTTCAAGTAAAAATCTTATAAAGTAAGGGGATTTCTATGTGTTGCTATTATCTTAGCTTTAAAAAACCCAGTTTCTGTGCTACTGTGAGGCAAGAAAGTGGGTTTTTTAAAGCTAAGATAATAGTCGTCATGGCTAAGAGCGGCTGGCTCTTACTGGGCTAAGAGCTCGACTGGCTAAGAGCTCGACTGGCTAAGAGCCTTGTATCTTAGTTAACAAGCCAATGGTTCAATCCCGCCGGCTAGATTATTGTTTTTTTCTTCCCTACATTTAGAGCTGCTTGTCTTTTGTTTGTACCAAATTTTTCGTGTGAATAAATCATGATATGTTCCACTAATTTCTCTTTTCAGCCAAAATCTTCACCTTTGTGCTCCGCCCTCAAATCCACAATCGCTAAAATCATCGGAATTCGCGGGGCTTTCCCCTCTGTCCTCGCCGTACAACGAGTGACCACCGACCATTGTTGGCGGGAAATATGATGGAGTACATGAAAGCTGAAAAAAAAAAAATTTTCCATGATTTAGCTTACAATAAATCGAGATATATATATATAAATTAGATTCTTTTAGTGTTTTTTTTTACACTCACCTGCGGACTTCCCCGAGCGCTCGATGGAGACGAGTGATCGATTCGTCGAACCGAATCTGTCACCTAAAATTTTCATTCACTTATCGTTCGGTTTTGAAAGTTTGAAAGTCACAAATTGTATTCGATTTCCAAAATTTCTTTACCTTATTCCGTTTTCGCTTTGGTGTATCGTCGTCGAAATTGTTGCCACGACGAAAACCCGGATTTAAAGCGGCCAATGGATTGAAGCCAGGGAAAGTGCTTGGAAAGATGCCACCTGAAAGTTTAAATAGGATTTGTTAATTTAAAATGCAAATAGTCTTAAATATTTATTTTATAAAGTACCTGGAGGAACGGCAAACGGATTCCCGAGAGCTGCAGACGGATGTCCGAATGGAGGAAAGAGATTTGGTGGGAATAAGAGATTTCGAGGTTGTTGCTAGAAATACAATAATTTATAGTATTTTATTAATATCAAAAAATGTCATTAAAAGCGTAGCTGTGATCATTTTTTACCTGTTGTGCTTGTACTTGGGCAGCTTGTTGTTGTGCTTGTGCTTCGGCTTGCATCCGTTGCAACATAGCCGCCGCCCAATCGGAAATCACCTAAAAACTCTCATAAAAGCAGTCATCAAAAAACTTTAAATCTTTAAATCCTAAAATCTTTCTCTTTTCAATAACATTTACTCACTTTGTCGATAGAGACGGTGAGCGAATCGGAGAGCTCTTGTTTAAGTGATTGAGCCAATTTGCTAACATCATTTTGGAGTTTTACCGACTTTTCTTCTGTTGGAGTCGATTGGGAAGCGAGCAGCTTTTTCTGATTTTCCATCATGGCGCAGAATCTAAGTTTTTTTAGGTAACAAGATCAGAAATCGATTGGTTCTTAAAGCAAATCTAGAATACTAACAATTTTAGCAATATTCTCTGAATTCTAGATCAAGACTCAAGAAATGAATAGTTCCAATCGATTTGCCGATCCCGAAAACCCCCGGGTGCAAATTTACAGCTCTAATATCTTCTTTTTATGCCATTTACAAAGCAAAAGAAAATCTTTATGTAAATGCGTGGGAGGTATTTTTAGTACTATGGCGTAATCGCTCTCCATCTGGCATACGGCCCTAGCATTACCCGCTTCCCTTTTGGAGTTCTGAAAGGTACAAAACAAATTCCGCGGATGAGCCTGCTTCGTCACTTTGGGTCTCACTATGCACAGATTGTTGGGGTCAATTTTTGCGTTAAATTTGGTTCATTTTGGGATCGTTTTCCTACAAATTCTACACCCTGGTCAACAGGTGGAAGAATTGATAAAACTAACTAGAGATTCAAGATGTTCAAGGCTAAAATCAATCCTAAAAGCAGATAGCATCTTTTAATACCCGAATGACATTGACGATGAAAAACCGATTTATTTACTTCATCTAGGTGCTGATAATTTGGTTTTAGTGAGAATCCTTTCTTTAACAGTTTTTTTTTTGTTAATAACTACCTCCTCTGTGCTTCGATCATTTCGGTGAGTTTGTTGGGAGCGTTGAGATGATGTTGCAAGGCGCTCACCGTCTCCGCTCCTCTTTTCTCGTCGATTTTCTCTCCTTCACCGCTTTCTCCATCCAACGAATCATTCGGATCATCGGTATCTGCAAAATCTAGAGTAAAACATGATCTAAGCTCTCAGCTTTCTTCACAAACTTACTCTCATTCTCGAGTTCGAAGCGCTCCCAATCTTTCTCTTGACCCTCTTCTTTCGTGATCGGATTTTTTTGTGGTTGAGCGCATTTTCTTCTTGATGATGATGAATGATTTGAGCTTCCGCTTCCCGCTCTCTCCATTACACTATCATCCTAAAAAAAGTGATCAAATTAAAGCTGTGCTTTTGTCATCCTTTGTACAAGCACTGCAAACACTCACAATCTTTTCAGAACTTGTGTTTTCAACATCAACTTTTGTCGAATCTTCAACTTCAGGCGATTCGTCTTTCATATTCTAAACTTTCTTATTCTCTAAATGTTCACAAAATCAAGTTTAAATTTCGCTAGTCTCGAGAACAAAGCTGGTTGAAGTTCTAAAAGGAAATTTGCATAATCCCACACTGGAGAAGAGTTGCTGGGGGGAAAAGAAAGACTCGGAAGTGAACTGTGTGAGAATTTCTTCTATTTTGCCTACTTCTTTTGCCTACAGTTTCCCCTTTTTCCTCTACTATTTTAAGCGGATCGAGCCGATCTTGTGAGAATGAAAAGCGACTCGCTTTGACATCCACTAATCCCCTAGAAGGAGCTCAATCCCTGAAGAAACCACATTCTCCGGAAATTTTCACTTAATCCAATAAGCATTGAAATTCGATGAGATCTGAAAACTCACATTTGAGAGACACAAATCAATAGCTGGGAAATCGCTCTTCTCAGTATCGATCTCATCCTCGGGATCCTTAAAAATCATCTACTATAAAAGAGCAATGTCTGTCTGTCATTTTCTCAGCCATTTTTTTTGATAAATAAAGCTAAAATTTCTTTAGAAAACCTTAGAATATATTATAGTTATGTTATTTTAAAACATAATTTTAGAAAAATCAATTTTGACCGAAACACCCGGGAGCCGAACCTGGACCTTGTGAGCTGCAGACCAACGCGCTCCTGACTGCGCCAAGGACAGACCGGTGGTCCGAGGGGTTTTTTGGCTAGTAGAGAATAACTTTCCAAATTGAATACCTTCTCTGAATCATTGTTTACTTTTCCATTCATCCACGGAAACAATGAGGATAACTGTTCCATTTGAAATGAGTTGTTGATTGGAGATGAGTCACGGAGAGATCTCTAAATTATTGAATCAGTTTTTTGGCTTTAAAGATCGAACCTAGATTAGACTACCAGCACTATTTTGCTTGCTGCTTACTACTGCACTTAGCACTTAGTCGAAGTTTAATGTGCACCAAAAGTTATACACACTTTCAATTCGAACATCTTAGCTTCAAAAAACTAACGGGATAAGTGTTGCGTGGCTCGCCGGCGTCAACGCGTTGCCTAGAGCGCTTGAGTTTGAGACGTTGTTGATGCGCGAGAACGAGTTGAGCAGCAAAAGGAGTTGAATTGAAAAGTGGATTGAAGAAAGGAAGTGGATGAGTGGATGAATTTGGGAATGGCGTTGGCAACGGTACTGATGATGGCAGGCCTGAGGACATTCGACCTGAAAGCTGAAAGTCTTTCTTGGAGAAAAATGGTATTTTGGCGGGAATTTACAAGAATCAATTGAGAAAAAAGTTGTCAATAACAAGCTAGGTGATACTTAAACAAAGTCTAGTCAAGAATAAGAAGTCTAGTCAAGAACAAGAAACAAAGACTTTGGACTAGATTAGACTTTGGTCTAGTCTAGCTTAAAATAAGTTTAACCGCTTTTACTTTAAATTTCTAGAAGCTCAACAATGACTAATTGCAAGGGAAAAGAGTTGTTTTTGACTAATTGTAGGATAAAGGCATGATGAGTAAGACTGGGAGATTAAGGGGGTTGAAAGGACGGAGAGGTGGAGGAGATGCGGCGGAAACGAGCCCCAAATTTCGGCATAGAGTACCGCTAGAGCAATTTACTGTTGAAGGGGGATAGATGGATGAAAAAGGAAATAGAAGAGATGAAGAGAAGAGATGTGAAACCAGTCATGAAGTGGAAAGGAGTGAGGAGAACAAGGACACCTTATCTGCTCCCTTTCTGAGACTCACCGTCTCTTTTGCTTTCCATTCCTTTCCCCACCTCTATCAGAGACGGATTATGGGGACATTGCGATCAGAAAACAATACGGTAACGGTAATTTTGGAGAAACCGAATTCTTTATTATAGTCAGCAGCAACTTTAGCAGTCACTAAAGAAAGAGATGATCAAGAGCTGTCACTGAATGACAAGTATCCTCGTCCCATAATTGGTGACAGCGGTCATCCATCTCTTGCCCATCTTTCCCCTGTGCTTCGTGATTTTTGCAGCCTCAAATTTGCATATCTTGCCTCAATCATGCAATGCTTTATTTCTCGAGAATCGAACATCTGTTCTAGTCAAAAAAAAATTTCTATACTTGTTCATATTATGATTTTCTTACAATATTTTCTCGACAACTCCCCATATATCCTTGAAAGCAGTTTCGATTTCACCAAAAAGAAATTGGGAAACGATTTGGAGGGAAAGTGTTTGTGCAGGAGCGACTTCTCCTCAGAGGGAAATCTCAGGCGAAGTCCCCGATCCCCCTTCCCCACAATCGTCGTCACCATCAATCCACCTTTCATTCTATTTGTTCACCTGAGGCCCCCGAGCCCAGGCACCGGCCATTCACCCGCTTCGAGTCACGCTCATCTCCCCCCTTTATCGTTGCTTATTTACGAGAAGAAAAGTTTTACGAAAGCAAGTCTGATATTTGTGCAATGCTGAATTGTGTAGGTGGCTTCCCGCCGGGCGCATTCACTGTATTTTTGTCGCACTGATGGGTCTTGAGTCGTCGATATTGAGAGCCGCCGATATTGAAATGGTTTAATATTATGAAAGGAGAGGATGTTCGATGAATAGAGGGGGGACAATAAGCGGTCGATCGAAACGACTCTTCCCTTGATTCCCATGATTTCACCTAAGCATGACGATCTTATGGAAATGGATCTTATGAGAAATGGATCTTATGAGAAATGGATCTGATGGAAATGAGAAATCTCCTTGTCCTTATGAGAAATCTCCTTGTCTTTCTAGAAACAGTATAGATTATTTTGAAAAAGTTAAAATGATATGTTTTGGTGTGTGAAAAAGAGAGGATCAATTTCCGCTTTCCCCAAGAATTTCACAAGTTTTCCCCCTCTCAACATTTTGTGGTTGTCAGCTATCAGAGTCGGAGATCGCCTTCTTTTGGAGAAAAGGGGTGAGAAAAGACTCGTGAATTTTGAGAGAAATGTCAATTTTGTCAAGCGATTATGCAAATCAACATATTTTCTCACCTTATCAACACATCGCCCTACAACTCGATGCGGTTGATCGTGTTGACTAACGGTTTCTCAATGAAAATTTTCGTAAAAGGAAATAACAAGATTTACATCATAGGTCTCTCGGAAATGTTTTCGAAAAAAGAAATATTAGAGAATTCGAATAAGTCAAATAATAGACAGGATCGATAGCTAAACGGATAGCTGAATGGATTAATAGTTTTTTTTGTTTATTAATAGATTAGTAAGCAATGTAAGAATCTTCTAAGAGCTCACAAAAATGAGCTAAATGCGGGAGAACAAAAAGAAAAGAATGGACAAAAAAAGCGATTTGAATTGGAGATTCCTATGCGGTGTCTCGTAAAGGAAACTCTCTCGAAATGGCTTCTTAGAATTCCGTCGATTATTGGCAATCCAATTTTTGCATAAACCTTTAAGAAAGAAAGTTGCCGACAAACGTTTTTAACCCTAAATAGAAACTAGAAACTCTTACAGATAAGGGAATCTCCGATCTTCAACTGAATTTAGTTTTCATCTTTGTAACAATCTTTTTGGAACTATGAGAACTATGAGTTTTCTAAGACGATTAAAACGACACAAGCAAAAAGGTCGTCTCAGTTGAATGATCACAAAAAAAAAGGAAAAGGATCAAAATAAAAAAAAAAGTGGAGAGAAACTGATTGAAGACGATACCTGAGACGTGCGATCAACAAGGAGGAGAAGAATCTCCGCCGAAAAAGATTACGGTAGTGGAATGGGAAGGTCGTCAGCGGGTGTCTTCTTTCGATAGGAGGAGAAAGGGGGGCAGCTCGAGCGACTGAGATGGGGTAAAGGGGAGATGGGGGAGATGGAGGAGTGGGGTATGGAGAGAGAAGACAAGAGACAAGGAGTCCCGCCCATCCTCTCCCCATCCTCGTCAACCCTCAAACATGATGTGCACCTCGATTGCCCCTTGCCTATTTCTATGTCCGTTGTAGGTGGGCAACAAAGGAAATGATCTCTTTCGTAGAGCCTACAAGATTTAAGGCTTTTGTGTGAAAATTTGCGTGAAAGAGCTCGAGAAACTTGTGAAATGAAATAGCTTGAAACTATAATGATATAATTGAACGATAGTTGTCTTAAATCACTTCAAAAATCAGCTGAACTAGTATGCAATCAGAAAAGAAAAAAGAATGAATAAAAGACTAAAAGAAAACTTTAAATCAAAGCTTCTCAGTTGGAGAGAGTAAAAAAAAAAGGTTAAAATGAGTCAAAAAATGTATTCGAAGAGTAGAGTATAACCGTAAAACATAGTCGACCAAATGAGGATAGCTATAGGGATAGTTAGAGACAAAGGAAAAGAAAGGGGCAAATTCAACTTTTCTTAAAACCAAATTTGATGAGGATTCTTTTAAAACCCAACGGTCGTTCCGTTTGCTGGAAGTTTGTTGGGAAAATGAAAGCTTAAAATGAGTCAAAGAATGTATTCGACGAGTAGAGTATAACCGTAAAACACAGTCGACAAAATGAGGATAGATGTAGGGACAGTTAGAGACAAAGGAAAAGAAAGGGGCGGACCAAAGAAGCGCCTCCAATCAGAGCGCCCGTCTTGAGATGTTCTCACATTCCGCCCCTTTTCCTCAATTTCTACAAAAACTACTGTATCATTTAAACTTTTTCTTTATTATAAATGAATGAGTTCAATAAGTAATTAATAAATAAAGTTGAGGAGAAATTTTCTTAAAAGAAATAAAGTCGATTCGAATGAAGATGAAAAAAAAATAGAGAAAGGATGCGACGGTATCCGGTAATTAGGCACTTTTGAGAATTTACAAATTACAGTTTACAGTTTACAAAAATCTACCATAACAAAACTAGTAAATAGCACAAAAAAAAGGGAAAAATTGCGAGCAAGAGCACTCAAAATCGATCGCTATTCGAGAAAAATGAAGAGAGAAAAGCGGACATAAAAATAGATGGATGAAGAAGCAATTGACTCCAAAAATGAAAGCTTAATTGTTAAACAATATGTTTTTGTTGTTATATTGTTTTTCTTTGATCTATCTTCGATCTTTCTTCGATCTTTCTTCGATCTTTCTTCGTTCTTCGATTTGATCTTTCTGATCTTTCTTTTTTTGACTTTATTTCTTTTTATAAAGTTTCTTTGACTTATTGTTTTACTGTTTTATTTGTTGTTTATTCTTTAATTTATTTTTTTGACTGTTTTATTGTTCTGATTTTGATTCTGTTACTTGTATTGCGTTGCCTAATCGACCTCGAGCCTATAAATTATGGATCAAGGTATGCCTATTGTCCTTTCAGAAAAAAAAATACCCGCTTCAAAATTTGCAAGCAATTTGCCAAATCGATCAATCGTTGTCGAGTTTTTGTCTAAGGTGTGGTCAAACAAAGCCTCCTCTTGCATTCAACGAAAATTACACGCATTCAAGATATTAAAGGGGGACACAGGTGAAGCGCCGATTTCTCTCCTTTGATCGAATCGTGATTTGTGCCCCCTTTTCCATGAACGGTGTTCCCCAATTGAGCCCCATTTTCAGCGGCTTTGCCCTTCATGTCTTGAGAACTGCCTCTCGTTTTATTAGCTGAGACACCTGGCTGTCTCGAGTTTTCTCGATCCTCATTACGGGCTTATCCACAAGATTTTTTTTTGTTTCTTTGAGTCTTCTATATTTATTGGGGTTCTAGATAAGTATAATTCCCAAATTCGCCCTCCTCATCCCCGCATCGAGTCAGTGTTCCGGAGTGCTTCCTTTCTGTGTTTACATTTTAATCGGATACCTGAGAAGATTGCAAGAGATGCGCTCAGGCCAAGTGTAAACCGAGCTTTTTTGCTTTTCTCTTCTTTCAACACTCATCAATTTTCCATCTAGAGAAGCGACATTGTATAGAGGAGATTTAGCACCAGTTGGACACATCGGTTCTTTTGTGGGCTGAGAATACAAAACAAAAAATACAAAAAGGTCGGCGCCCGGGTTCGAACCCGCGACCTCTCTACAAGCCCGAAGCAAAGCCCTACCAATGAACTACACTGACACTGAAGCATCTCCACCACGATAGGATCTTATGCTTTACTCTACTTGAAAGCAAATGAAAGGCATATTTGTTAAAACCATTGTAAGCATGCATTTAACTCAAAAAGATCGTTAGATCGTTTTCAGCAAAGCAAAGCTTTTCCTTCTGTTTCCCTTCTTTTAATCACCTGTCGAAGGGTGATCATTTGTATGGGATTTCTTTG